TTTTCCCAGACTTGGCAGCTTTTGCTGTCGCATATCCAGCAATATGTTTCCAAGCCAGTAAAACTTCTCTTATGCGGCCAATGGGTATGTGTGGGTATGTCACAGGTTCGGTGTCCCCTCAAGAAAGAAGATTTCGCTTGATAGCGATTTGGGTACCGTCGAATCAAATACAAATCAAACATGAAGTAATAACAAAATTCAGGATTCGATTCCTGATACATCTCTTGATGAGATTCTAATATTCCGATATCGTTTAATGCCATGCGGATATGTTCTTCCCCATACGGATAACTACAATCGTTTACTGTGGTATCTTGATTACGCAACTATTAATGTCGAGGTATTCATTCCATATTCACACCTTACATTTATATATCTACCTTTGAAAGCACATCGTAATGCCTCAACTACATGCTATCCAACTAATATCTTTCAGTCCTATTCATAAATCTGATACTGATTGTGATCTAAAACATCGACTTATTTACTTATCATCACCGAGACGTTGGTTGACATTCTAAAGAATATCAAGGAAAGTGTGATAAAAGTTTCATCTAATCAGATTTCGATGAAGAGCACAGAGTAAACCCAGGAGTGAGCATGAGCTTGAATCTGAAGAATCTAAGCCCCCTAGGTGCTAGCTGAACGCTTCGATTGCTTTCATCAGGCAGTGGCATCTACTCGATTATATCGAGTGAATGAATGAATTTGAAGGCAGTCGCACACACAATCCAAAGTTCAGAATCATTGCGAAGTCAGTTCATGCAATTCGAGCACATGTTGAAGAGAGTTAATAAACAGGTTCGAAAATTCATCAATCAACGCCACCTTTTCAATTCCATCACCTGTCAAAACAACTAATCGCTTCTTATGGCAACCACAAAATACCTGCTTTTATTTACTGCATGAAACACTAAAGATGCTCACAAAAATGAAATGTAACAATTTATGACGGTGTTCATCTAAATTCTAAATGGCATTTGATGCCATTTTAGATTATAGGCATTCATTCAGAATCAATTTCAGTGCTGAATTATTTTCTCAAGAGCCAGCAGCTTAGAGTGTTGAGAAATTTTGTGGAGTGATGAGGCTGAAGCTGAATTTGTTCGCAGATTTTGAATTGACACAGACAATACGGATTTTTGAGAGGGAATAATGAAACGCTGAGCAGAAAAAATGAATCAACTGATGGCTTTCAGGAAGAGCAAACAGGACGTTTGAGTGGAGTACGACACATCATTGATCTGAACGGATATGAAATCAATCCGTTCACAATGTTCTTTGTTACGAACGGCAATCTTGCGTATTACTCTCAACTGCTTCATTTCGAGAACTACCCAGACTTAGTAAGCTGCTATCACAACTCAGCGCAACCGTGCTTGCTCTTGATGATCGTTTCTTGACTTCGGAAACTCCAAAATTCGATAATATGTCACCTAAAAGAGCAGAGTGCAATTACTGGCTTCAGTTAAGCAGTTTTATTTGTGTGTATTTATGCAAATGCGCGAATTGAATTTTTGAGAATGGTAGAAAGTGCAGACATTTGATAGAACGAAATGAAACTGCTGAATTAAGGTCACTCCTATGGAAATGGTGAATGTACCGAAATGGCTTCATGTACCGTACAAAATCGCAAAAACAATGATGCCCGATGGGTTCAACGACCGTTTCCGACTTCACGACGACAACTTTTTGAATGCTTTACTGAAAGACATCAACATTGAGCATATTCCACAGACTCTCGGAGGATATAACGAGGTAACACAACTAAGGTCTACTGCACTCACTGATCATTCAATTGCAATTCTTTTCAAAGTCTAAATTACGTAATCCATCGTCAATTGACTACAGTTTCGATCAAGAACACTAATTATTTCCTGTCGCATGATATAATTATTTCCTTCATCATGATCATTAATTATAAGACGGTGAAGTGATACGGAACACTCATCATGATACTTGAATACTCTCTTGTCTTTCTTATTTCACTCTTGCAACAACTCACTTTCGCTATCATTGTAATATGAGATAGTGAAGTGATATGGAAGTTATCATAGGGAATGTCAAAATCATAGAACAATGTCATTATTTGTATCTTAATGTAGCCACTCGATGCAGAAAATCAAAACGATTCCTGCACAAAAACTGACGAATGAAAAGTTTTGGAAACCGACCGATATGGAGCTCATTAGTGCACTAGAGACATTCCATATATCACCACGAAAGGTTCGTCAAATTCACGTTGATGTGACGGACGCGAATAATTCCTTGTTGTGGTACTACAGTACAGACGGTGACATCTATTTCGGTGTATTCTACCAGGTAATTTGTTTCTTTCTTTATTAACTCATGTCATTCATGAGTGGCTTAATTTCTACCCATATAACAGATATCTCACTTCAATGATACTTCAGATAGGTGCCAGAATCTCATAGGAAATGTTTCATTTCATTAAAAATTCGAGAAATATTGTACGGCCATGATGTTTTGTTAGTACTCGAGTACGTGACAATCTGGATTTAGTGTTCACTTCCATGCGTTCTAATTTGATTTTGATCAGTACAAGAATCACTGGATTTTTGTTTTACATATCTAAAAATGCATTAATTCTATTCGAAAAAGTAAACAATCCATGAGCGACATTCACCTCAATGCACTAAACACCAAATTCATGTCGAATCGATTATCATGTCGAATCGATTAGAAACAGCAGCCCAAACCACAACGACATTCCCCATTAACTATGCGCACTTCAGCCATTCGACGAGGCTATCAGCAACAATACGATCACAAACAACACCCGTCATGAGAAAGAGATCGACTACGATCGTCTCGAGATGGTTTACCCGTGGTGGAAACTTGCCGCCAGGATAGTGCACGAGTCGGGTCGTATTCAGTGCACAAAACCTGGTCGCTATTGGTTTGTGTTTTGTAATAAGCTGTCATGGTTGCAGAAACGAACCGTTCATTTGAATGTACAATTAACGGACGGCTCATGCACGAAACGATGTCATATGGACGGTACGATGAGTAATGCTGAGATCACCATTCAAACCGATCAAACACTTCACTTGTCACTTTGATTTTGATCCACTTTGATCAAATCTCTCTGATTGATATCCGATGGCTATCACTATGCATAATATTACTCTTCTTTATGAATATCGTTTCTATGTGTAATTTGGTTATTATGATCGTCTCTAGTGCATTTTAGTGCATTGCGATTGATCATTACACTATTCGCAGGCGGAAATCGCAAACAGCTGACTATCTTTTTGAGCTCACAAAAAACCTTACTTCCTGTGAATCCAGTTCTACTTCTTGTCATTACCATTTTTTGATTCATAAATGACAGAGAACATACTTGATCAATTGTAGTTGCTAAATTGTAGCAAAATAGCGAAATCAAATTGTAGTAGCAAATTTGATCATGACGTGAGTGCATGATTCAAAACGAGTGTGAATGATGTGAGTCAATGTAGTTCTAAATCGACTCAAAAGCATTCCTTCTGAATAAACTCCTCTTGCCACAATCTTGGGCACCAGTTGCTGTTCATGCATACATCTTCGGAACAACAAAAAAGTTCCCCTTCCCACTCACGATCAGCACAAAATCGAAGCAAACCTCATTCAAAGCGTCAATTTGATCGATTCGCGCAAAAAAACGTCTTCCATTAGTGTTCAGCAACGACTGATGAATACTACGTGAGCTCTTCGCTGTAGCAATCACCAAAATATTGCTACGACTCGAAACACACCGAATCACTTAAATAAATCAACCAATCAAAGGGGAACAAACTCGCCTTCACACGAAATCATTATTCGTCCGAACAATGTTCAATTAGCAATTATTTCATACTTCTCACATTAACACACCACTAAACATATAATCGTTCGACAAATCGCTAAGTTTAATAGAAACAATGAATCACTTGCGAAGAAAAATTATTTTTGAAAAAAAAACAGTCAAAACAATTGTTAAAATTTACTCGCAAAGGTCCGTTCCAAATGTAAATTTCTTTGGTCATCGTTTTTTGCCGTTGTTGAACAAAAATCGATATTGTCAAGAATCAACACACACGGTTTACGTCGTTTCAACTGCTCAACTGTCGATGTGAGTTGTTTTTCGATAATTTCCACCGATTTGCCTACAGTGGCAGGATGAAACTCACAACAGGCATTGGCTGATTCAAAGTAATGCGAAAATAGCCCCAATCAATCAGCTGATCAAAACTGCAGCATAATTGCCATTATGAAAAGTTTCGTTGAACGACGGATATTCCCCGTTTTTTGTTCAGCGATTTCCTTCAGACGAAGGCATCTGATTAGTTTGTAACGGGAATTCGTTAGCGGAATGCAGATTGCGCGCAATGATTATAGTCACCATGCACGAAACTAACCCATACGATTATTATGAATATTGCAACTTAAACGAACCCTTCCAACGTTTACACTCAATATAAATGGAGAAGATGACCATCGTCGAATGATTAAGCAGTGATCTGGCCAAGAGATCAACTATTGTCGTTTTTCCACTTGATTCATTACCAGTTATTAAAATATTCCCAGGTGAGATGTTTTGCATTGCGTTCAAACAATATTCAATGTACTCAACCAAGGGCGTTACAAATTGAACTTGGTATCTAGAAGCATTCATCATTGTTATTACTTGATCACGGTTACTATTTCTTATTGTCTTACTGTTCACATTATCGCCAAGAATCACTCACATTCATTAACGGTATTATCTCCATTTCACAGACAAGATTATTTTTATCATTTTTGCTAACTTTCTCGTTAGTGATTATTCATGGAACCGATTCGGTTCCGTCATGAAATAATTAAACCA